AATATAGGTAATTATCTAGGCTTCTATAGTAAGCATAGACATCGAAACAAAAACAAACTCAATCAAAACGAACAGTTCCCTGACCCCAGGCCACCCCTGCCCGTGCCGAAAAGCTTGCTGGTTCGTTGGCTGGTAGCTTTTTCTGTTGCTCCTTTTGGCTTAGGGGTTTAGGGTTTAGGGTTATTGATGTTTTGCGGGATTTCCAGCGTTTGACACTGATTTCAATTGCTTAAGACTCTTTGCTCAACATCCGGCGCCTGTCTTTGCAGGCGCCGTCAGCCGATAGCCCCTGACACGACGGCGGCCGTCAACAGCAGCATAAAGAGGAATAGCCCACCGACGACGGTGTAAAGCCTCATCCAGCAGGGATCTCGAGAGTCAGACACGCGATGCACGGGAAGAGGGATCAAAAGTGTCTCCGAAGCCACTACAGCGGCTCAATGAACAGAACAAGCCATGCTAAAACTACCTCCTGCACCGCGAATCGAGAAGCGGCCCAGCCACGTGCTGGCTCCGTCCTGCCCGATGGACGTCCCCATCCTTGAACTCTGCGTGCGTGACTGTCTGGTACTTAGTAGGGAATGGGGGAACGGATCCCTATGATAGTCCTTTAAGGTCCCTGTAGTAGTCCCAATAACCCAAACCCCCATTCCCTACTAAGCACCAGACAGGTGAGGGAGAGGACGTGACAGGTCGTATTCGGGACTTTCAGGGCTGAAGGGCCGCGAATCCGTCCTTATGAAGACGACAGGGCTCTGCACAACTCGCGCCAAACAACCTAGAGGACCTTGCCCTGTTGTGCCAGGCACCCAGTAGCCTAGTACGGAACTCTGCCACAAAAAGGATCGTTATTACGGGGAACAAGAACAAAAATCAGGACCACCGACATCTGATCTCTAGACGGCTGGATGGCAGCAGCACAGCCAAGCTCAATACCTGGCCCCCGCCAACCAGGAGAGAGCAAACCCAAACCCTGAACCCCAGCCGAGATCCCATGCCCTAACCCCCAACCTAACCGTCCTAAACCCTAAGCCTAGACCCCTAATAAAATACTGCAGATGTACTAACTGCAAACAATCGCCCAAACTCCTAAACCCTGAACCCCAAACCCCCAAACTCCTAAACCTCAACCCTGAACCCCAAACCCCCAAATCCTAAAGTTTAGGGTTTAGGGTTTAGGGTAAACCTCAACCGAGAACCCCCAAACCGTGACCCTACGCTCGGGCCGTCGCTCGCCCACGGGGGACCCCTTGAGCATATCCCGAGCTGCCTTGCGCTCTGCCTGCTTCGGAGGTTAATTACTGTAAATATATGGTGTGTCTGAATCTGATATGTGGTACATGAAATGTACTGCATTGTATGTGTGTGTGTATATATATATATATATGTGTGTGTGTGTAGTATAGAAATGTATGTAATATCCAATACAGTATGTGAGGTTCAGGGGGCCTGTCAACAAGCGCGGGTCAGGGGTCAGGTGCTGTGCAACTTGTACATACTGGGCAAGGGTGTTGGACTGTGCCAGGTTTGCAGAGCTCAGGGTGTATTTAACCGCACTAGCTTTGGCAGTTGAACACTAGCAAAGTGAAAGTAGCTAATCCATCTAAGCAGCAGTCGCAAGAGTGAGATGTATTCTGAAATTGAAAACAGGCATGACAGACTGACAACATCGAGCGATATGTCCTCAGCACGGTTGCATACTCTACGAAAGCAAACCTGGTCCTCCATGCAACTAGTGATTACTTTGATGCACGCCATGATAGGTGATGCAATCCTCACCTCGGTTGGCTCGGCACGCCGTGGGAGGGCCGAGCCTCAAGCAATTTGTCATTGTCTGGTCCGGGATCAGGGTCCACACTCCCTGAACCAATGCCAACGAACTAAGAGCTTGATGTCCCAACTCCCGAACCCTCTTCACCCACAAGGCTTGGAAGGAGATCAATGCATGAGTGCTCAACAAGAAATTCTGATAAAACAAGCTCGGGGTGACACTGCCGAACTACTCTGCATATCCGCATAAACCTCCTCCCTTCCCGTCCTTCAGAACTCGAAAAACACCTCATGGGAATACAGAGTCCCAGATCATCACTGAGAGCTGCGCCGGCTTGCTGCACCCTTGCGACACAAGCAAATTGGAGCTATTGCTTCCATTGTTGCTTCTTTAAGAGCTCTTGGGACTTTTGCTCTTCGATTGCCGGTTCAACTTTAGCACGCTGTCGGCTGTGAAGTACTCTGGCGATCTCTAGCAGGTCTTCTGGTCTCGGACGCAGGATGCAATGAAGTGCTCCGTAGAACTGTTCGCAGGTGGATGGTTCGTCGAGGGCATGAATCCACAGGATTCCACGTGTGCGTCACCCACGAAAGCCAGCATCGGATCTCGTCAGAAGTGTTCGGCCAAGGATCAATCCTGCCCTCAACTCTCTTTCTGCCACACGCATGGACTGGTCCGGCTCAGCTGACCCTTCCTCAAATGGCACGCTGCAAGGGGTTAAGGCCCAAATCCTGAGTATCATTACCTTTGCTTTGGGCCGTGGGCGATGTCTCCGATGATTCTCCCTTCGCATTGCTCAGGTTTGTTTGGGCCAGGGGGTCGAGAGAGCCAATGAGCATTATTCATGTCGGAAATTCAGTTGCGATCCCGGAAATAGAAAACGAGCGCATAAGATTCAGATAGACTCTTTCGGACTCTATCGCGATCCCTGACTCAGATAGACCAGATAGACTCTAACCGCCAATCGCTGATCAAATTTTGTGGCAGTTTCTGCAGCACCACCCAAGAACCAGGCAAACTGCGAGGGAAGTGCACGCACCGCAAAGCTGATGAGAGTGGTTGTGCATGTATTATGTGGGTGTGTGGTGTACTCGCTTGTCGCAAGCCTCTTGAACCTTCAGCACCCCCAAACCCTTTCAGCACGGACTGAACCCTAAACCCTAAACCCTAAAGCCCCCCCCGGCCACTGCAGAATCCAAGCTGGAGCTGAGCCCCAGACTTGTCGTTGCATACGGCATAGCTCTCGGCGACAAAGCCACGACCTCCCCGAGTCTCCGTGAGCAAAAAAGGGAGGTCTTCTGCTAAGAGCTGACCCTAAGGGTCCAAGTGGTCCTTATTTATGGTTTTAGGTACCCAGAAAGGCCCCAAAGTCTTTAAATAATGGGTACTTGGACCCTTAGGGTGAAGGATTACAACAAATACCTATATTGGTTTGGGGGGTTTCTGATTATTCTTATACTATAAAGGGCCCCAAGGATTACAACATTTACCTATATTAGTTTGGGGGTTCCTTATTGTTCTTTTACTATAAAGGGCCCCAAAACCCTATTCTACAACAACGTTTGTACTGTTCGCGAAGCATCTGCTTATCTGTGCTGCAGTTCTGCTGCCCTCGTATCTGTTTCTTCCACGTCTGCGACGTCTGCATGTCTGCCATGTACGACTGATGAGAGTATTGAGTTAGATGCATGTCTATATACATCTGTCTGCGTGTGGCTTTCGTCAATAGAGAGGCTGTGTGAGTGCTGATTCCTGCATGTGTGCGTGTGAACTGGTGCCCCCTTATGTGCACGCAGAGCCATGTGCGTGAGTCCTAGTAGGTGCGATGATGTGTGGGTTTGTAGGTAGGTACGAATGTTTCTGTATGTCTGCACACACGTACATACTAGCATCTGTCTGTTCACATCGGTGCAAATGTCTGTAACGTTGTGTGCGTGTGCACGCAGCCACACAGATGGATGTTGTCCCGAAGCGAAGTTTCTTCCATGCCAAGACCAGTCCAACCCTAAACCCTAAACCCTAAACCCTAAACTCTAAACCCTCCAAAATACTTAGGAGCTCCAGGGAGTCCAAGCTTGTCCCATATTGCACCTCCACCTCGTGATCACTGCAAAAAAGCCTGGAGTCTTTTTTGCGCGGCTGTCTCGCGAATGAAAGAGCCTCAAAGGCAATCGTGAAGCACGACAAGGTCCCACCCGAT